AAAAACTGACGTCACGATTTCTTAAGTAGGGACGTATTATAGCACAGTTGCCATATGATGAAATACGATTTGAACTTCAGAAATATTAGTTATTCCATAATTTAAAAAAATCTTAATTTTGTATTGGTTATTTTACTAATTAGTCATAAAAAAATCAATTTTCTCAAACTATTCCCTTCCAGTAAATTGAATGAAAAATTGAAAAGATAGTTCAATATCATTGTCAAGGAAGACACTTCAAATGCATATTTTTAGCCCTCTTGGTTCAACCCCCTAGGAGGGGTAGATGTTACCCTTAGAACTTAATATGAAAAGGGTGTCACATGGACGTATTACGTCCATGGGGTGTCAAGATGCACATTATTTTAAAGGGCGTTCAATTCTCTTTCGAACCGTACCCTAGTTCATGATTTTTCGATGAGCAATTTCCGATAAATGCCGTTCTGAACTTACAGAAAGAAGTAATTAGAAGATGCCTGCACTGAAATGCATTCAAAATCTTCCTACCATCTGGACTGAACGGGTAAATACAATAATACCAACCTGAAAACCATGCATATCAGTCTAGATATCAGTCCAGGCATGTTCTAATTACTTCTGTAAGTTTAAAACTGCATTTTTCGGAAACTGCTTTTCAAAGAAATGAAAAAATTGGGGAATAGTTCAAAAGAGACTTGAACGCCCTTCAGAATGATGTGCATCTTGACCTCCCTTCTCATGAGGTTCTAAGGGTAACATCTACCCTTCTTAGGGGGTTGAACTAACAGGGCTAAAAATATGCATTTCAAGTGTCTTCCTCAGAAATCGAATTGACGTGTTTTTTCGATTCTTCATGTCATTTAATAAAAGGAAGTTTTCTAACACGATATTTTTTGGCAACTGCTCGACAGTAAATGAATAACTAGGGTACCGTTGGAAATAGAATTGAACGCACTTCTAAATGATATGCCACTTGACCCCCCTTCCCATTTGAGATTCTAAGGGTAACATCTACCTCTCTTAGGCAGTTGAACCAAGAGGGCTAAAACTAATCATTTCAAGTGTCCCCCTTGAAAAAAAAATCGACCTGTTTTTTCGATTTCTCAAAATATTCACTGCAAGGAAGATATTGAGGGTGGGAAGTTTTCAAAATGTCACCCTGTATAATCTCCCTGATGTTTTTACCCTGCCCTTGTTGAATATAACTTTTGATGGATGTCCACCTCTTGGAGTAGAAACAGATATGCCAGCTGAATTCGCAGCTGCCTCCGTTTTGATTTTTTGAAAACTGCTTTGTAATTACTATATTTGAAACTGTCTGTTAAAATTTTGGTGAATGCACTCTAACAGTTCAATGATTTTTCTGGAAAACCGTTTGGTTAATCGATGTTTTTTTTTATTCGAAAATGTTCTAGGCATCTGATGTACCTTGAACTTTTCAAAAATCTACAGTTTGAGGCTTTCTAGTCGTTTCTAGTCGATGCACTCCTAGAGAAAAACTATTATGCATGGTTCTCTTTTTATGATTCTTTGGTTCTGGGGTTATCTGATCAATTTCAAAGTTGATCTTGCATCTATAAGTTCTTTTGAATTGAAAACTTCTTTAAGCGCGTTCAGCACTTTTTTTGGGTGAAAAAAAAAACATTGGATTTCGCGTCGTCACTTATCGCTTTCCATGAGCTATACTCCGAGATGCCAACACGACAAACAAAAAGGGTTAGTGTGCGACAAACATCCACTATGCGCTTTTATTGGGAAGTAAAATCGGAAGAAGAATTTCAGTCCTTTTTGCAATTACTAGAGATACTTGGGAATGGATTGATAGTTACATAATATAGTAATCTCCTTTCTACCAGATTGAATGTTCTACATTGTAATTCTATTCAAAAGTCATTTCGACGTAATAGTTCAGGAATAATAACCGAGATAATAACATCTGATTATGCTCGGATTATGAGCAAGGGATCTAATTTGAATTCCCAAAATAAAGACAAGTCCGTAGTTACACAAGATTACATTCAGTGTGTATCAGCCAAATAGAATAAATTCGAAAAGGAATAAACGGGGGTCTGTTTGAAAAAACGCTCGGGCACGTTGATTGATATTTTTAAAAGCGCATTCTTCTCTACAATATTCTATACAGGGTGTGTCATGTAACAGCGACCAATACCAACTTTCGAATTTCAAATGCAACACCTTGTATTTTATTCAATTTTTGTATTCTTCATATCATTTTAGACGTATTTCATGTACAATGTCATATACTCATCTTCAACTGTTTCAGAAATATAACACAATTATAGGAGAGCCGGCTGCAAATTTCGACCGTCATCTGATAACGAAATGTTATATGTTCCAAAGGCATGTAAAAACATTGTAATTTATCGAACGGCAACTGTGCCAATCACTATCCTGAGCAAAATGATTAAAAAATGGCACTTTCCTGTGCGGTTATTTATACTTAATTTGGCGATTTGATAAAAATATGAGAATTGTGCCATCTGATACCAATTGAATAGTAGATATCAAAAACCTCTACCTGTGCTTCCCCTTAATCTGAGCCAAATCCAGGGCACAGCGATATATTTGCTGCCGTTATTCCGGACATACTTCCGTCATGTGATAACGAGTTGAAACAAAGTATCCAAACGTGCCGCGATTCAAACTGAGCTAAGTTAGTGGCTGAGCGTCATTATTTCCATGGATTGTATTTCCGAGAATATTTCGTTCCTGTCGAGATTATTATCCGATGGACCAGTTTGAAACTCATGTGGTTCTCGCACTACAAGCATTCGAATCCACATGTTGAGTTTAACACTGGTCCATCGGATATCATCTTTAGAAAGGTGCGAAATATTCTCAGAAATAATGACGCTCCGTCACTAACTTAACTCAGTTTGAATCGCGGCAAGTTTGGGTATTTGCAAAGGAGACATTCCTTTTAATTTGCTCTTTGTTTCAAATCGTTATCACATGACGAAAGTATGTCCGGAATAACGGCAGCAAATAAATCACTGTTCACTGAATTTGGCTCAGATTAAGGAGTGGCACAGGTAGGTTTTTGAGATCTGCCATTCAATTGGTATCGAATGGCATAATTCTCATCTCGTTATCAAATCGCGAAATCAAGTGCAAAGGAAAATGCAATTTTTCAATAATTTCGCTCAGGATAGTCATTGGCACAGGTGCCGTTCGATAAAATAAAATGTATATATGCCCTTGGGACATATATCATTTCGTTATCAGATGGCGGTCAAAATTTGCAACTGGCTCTTGCACTACAAATATCTACAGTTTTACTAAATAATGTTCTACTGCGCTTCCAATTCTCTGAGGCCAAGCTAGAATGGTCAAGCTGTACATGGTTCACAAAGTATAAGCACATGTTTTTATATATTGTTATATTCTTCTTTCTGCTTCCAATATAAATTTTCGAATAATTATCGAAAAAAACAAGATTATTTCACTCATATTACAATATTATTAGGTAAATATACTTACAAACCAAAAATAATTCAAAAATAATAATCTTCTAGTCTACCATACAATTCACAAGTTCCTTAGTTTTCACTTTTATCGCCAGTCCCCAACGACTGCCCCCGCACTTTTTTTATAGCAATTTGTGAACTATCTAAATATATGTGTATACAAAATATCATATGTTGGGATTATTTGGTCATCCCCAACTTTTTATTTGCGAATACGGACATGACGTATTCTTGTTTTGAAGTTTTTAAATAATGGACTTCCGAAATGATAATACGAATGAAAATATCAAAATGACTGAAAAATTAATTTTTCTATGATACAAATACATAATGACCAGTTTATTGCCACCGATCACTGATTCATTTATTTCCTAATTTTTATAACTCTCCTCTGCACTTTTGGTACCTTGTTTGGTTTGCAATTTATTTGAAATACCTAATTCATATTAATGCAATTCAAGATGTTGCGTTTCCTTGTCTTGAATAACTACCTATTTCGAAAAATAAAATTCAACCCAACAATTACTACTGAAAAATAATATAAGTATGTTATTTGTTTTAAATAATTTTGTCTCAGATTTTGCCATTCATTGTCTTACTGTTTCATCAAAATTAATTGCATTAATAAAATTGTTGTGGGAAAGCGTCAAGTTGAATTTGAAACGTTGATCAAATAAATTGCAAACCTCATCGCGTATGGAAAGTTTACACCGTGTCCCATCTAAAATGCCCCCCCCTGTAAAAAATCCACCGCGCGATCGAATGACTGGAAGTTTGGTCACCCAGTATATTTGATGATGCTCACTCGAAATATTCTATTGAATAAATCGTAGGTATACCAGGTCACACTGAATTGCACCTAAACTTTCCTATTTGAATAAGAACACCCAGTATATTATTCCATATTCCATATTCCAGTAGAGTTGATTATTACAAATTCAACAACGCCAGGTTTGATCGGATTTTTTCAAACGACTACGAATGGCAAAAAATTGAACGATTCAATTAAAAATTTATATGATTAGATCTTATTAATATAACACTCGAATGAAAAGAAAATAATTGAAACCTCAACTGCTCAATGTCGTCCATTCTGCTGCAAACATTTCCTAGCTCTTTTGATAACGTTCATTGTGACCCTATGTATCATGTTGCGACCAATTTGTGCGCATAAATTTTTTATTTTATCTTTCATTTCGTCCATATTCACAATTGTCTACTCATGAACATGTTGTTTCAAGTAGCCCCACAAATAATAATCAAGTGGGATGGGGTGTCTGAACGCATCATTGTCAATCATGCAATCTACTATTTCTAAGTTATTGTAACATACTTTCCATGATAATCTGTATGACTGGCATTCTATTTCTATTGGGATGAGGATTGAGGATAACATTACAATAAATTTTATCATTTCAATTGTTTTTTCAATTTTATATTTCGTCAGCTTACAATAAATAAAGTAAAAAAAGTAATATTCAACTTAAAAGTAGTAATAATCCTAATCAACTCACACTTTTATGTTTACAACAGGAAAGCTACTTGAAGGAAAGGATCAAGATCAACGGAAAAACCGGTAATTTTGCTGCTGGTAAGGGTAGTCAACATTCTGTTACCTTGGGCAGAGAGAAAGGAACCAAAGTTGTACTCAATTCAGAAATTCCATTCTCCAAAAGGTAATTTTTGTATACATTATAATATACTATATTTCATTATGTTTGACAATGCCCACATTTCTAATTCCATATTGATCAGTTTGTTTGTCATAATGGTGAGTTTAAATGTGGAGATTAAATGCAGCACCGCTATGTTTTCAGATTATCTCAATGATCTATTAAATACATTGTGCTGCAACAATATAACCACTCCATTTACTGTAGAGAAAATATCAGTATTTAAATGTCTATTCTTGGGTTTATCTCCTGAATGCAAAAATTGTTCACAGTCCTATGATCATTTCAAGATGCTTATACATAATAAGTGCGTCTGAAAAGGTTGGCATTAAAAGGAAAACTTTGTTATCATCAATTTCAGGGAAAATCATTCTTCATGAATAGTTCTCCCAAAGACTTTCAATGAAGTGTACACCAGACTTCCATGGAGATTTACCGCTCGGTTAAAGTATCCCTTTCTGCAGCTAAGTCTCCAACAGTCGCCCAAGAATACTTCCTTTCAAATAACCATAACAAAATCCATCTTATCAATCTGATCAGGAAAAAATTATAGGGTGCAACATAGTATCATACAAAGCAGAGGACAACACGGACTGACTTATAGTAACAACAGCCATTTCATTGGCACAAGGGAGGATGTAGACCTTCTAATCCTCGTTGGTTACTGGTTCCGTTCAACGTATATTTGTTAAAACCTGAAATAGGGAAAGTACTAAACAAGCCGAGCAACAAGCTGTACCATCCAAGCATCACCCTCAATCATCAAGATTGAGAACATATTCTTCACGCATATTGTAACCGGGTGTGGTACAATGTTGCCTTATTCGAGCCTAGGAAAAACAAAAGCCCTAAACATGCTAAACAAGCTTCTCAACATAAAAGTAGACCTCAGATTATTTGATGACCCTGAGGCAGATTTGAAGGATCAACCGAAGCCATTGTCTGATATGAGATACAAGATGTTCAAGACATCTTCTTACAAGTTGACATCAAACTTCGCAATTTTACGTCCAACAAGGGCTGCAGCTCGCCAGCATTCATTGCGAGTATATCTTCAGGTGCAACGTGCAATGCAAATTTGGCTGGGAGCGGGTACATTGACGAAAACTCCTGAGTAATTGACATAGAAAACTGCATAATAACCTGGTGGAGAGATAAGTGATTGAAATTTGGAATGACTCGTTAACATGATGAACGTCACGTTTTAACATAAATATGTTTTAAACGATTTTCAAATTCAAAAAAAGTACTAATGTCGTTAATGAAAATTTTGAGAAGTGTTGGCCCCAGATTGGAGCCGTATGGTACGCCAGAATAAGAAAAAAATTGTTTTGTCCTAAAAATGTGGTGACAAATCAAGAAACCGGAAGTGGAAAATGAAGCATACTCCTGTCAAAACGTGACATCAAAATGATGGGTCATTCCGAATTTTAATCACATCCCTAAAACTTAAGAAATAAAAGGAGGTGTACCATGATCTTGTTACACCCGGTATGTAGTGAACATCAACAGATATACAGGGTGTTTCAAAATTCAGTATCAAGATTTTAGGGGCGTATTTTTCAGGTCAAAATAAGACGTTTTTGTCCATAAACATGTGTCCGCAAACGCTTCGTTACCGATCTACAGAGCGTTAAAGTTTCAAGATTTTTTTATTTTTTTCTTCATAGCTCTTTCAATTTTTGAGATATTGAGATCAAATTTGGAATGTAGGTTACGTTCTAGGGCTTACATCATCCAGCATGCCGAGTGACTGTGAGAATCTACAGGGAGATATTTTTTTCAGGGGTCAAGCCCTTTTTTACCCCATAAACTTTTTTGTGGTGCGCCGCTGGTGAATTCTGAGATACGAAATGAATTCTTTGTTCTGTTTATAAATTTTTTTGTCTCTTGTAATTTTCACGCATCTGCGATCGTTATCGAGAAAAAAGTAAAATCAATTTTTGTGATTCGCTACATTTAATTAAAATTTTCAACGGAACAATGAAAAAGCGAATTAGTGGGCTTTGACTGCTATTTTCATTTCGACTTTCAGGTTTGTTTTGAAGCATTTGACATTATTTGAAAGTTGGTGGATGTCTCATCGTGTATTTGTTTAACTTTAACGCTCTGTAGATCGGTAACGAAGCGTTTGCGGACACATATTTATGGACAAAAACGTCTTATTTTGACCTGAAGAATACGCCCCTAAAATCTTGATACTGAATTTTGAAACACCCTGTATACACGTCTTGAAATAATAATCTTCCTATAGACGCTTCCTATCGCGCTAATCCCTCTTTTTGTAATATAACATAATAAAATAAAATATAATGTTGAATTATTCTTGCCAGGCGTGTATCTTGAAATGCTGAAGTTACAACAATACAAAAGTTGGTGTTTTGTGCAGCCCTAGCATAAGCACCCCCATTTTTTTGTCTGGCTAATAATACACAACTTGTTATCCAACACCTAGACCATCAAATCAAACGGTGAATATGTTTGTTGCCTCTAGACGAGCTAAAATAGCATCGATGAAAGCGATGCTAAGAGCTACAAAATCATCATACCACGATGCATTCCTGTTGGAACTTTGATCTTCGATACTAGTGTGGTTCAGGTTGTTCACTTCTCTAGTTCTCCAACACCTGGACCTTCAAATTAAACGGTTAATATGTTTGTTGCCTCCAGATGGGCTATAATAGTATCGATGAAAGCGATGCTAAGAGCTACGACATTATCTTACCACTATGCATTCCTGTTGGAACTTTGATCTTCGATACTAGTGTGGTTCAAGTTGTTCACTTCTCTAGCTTTCAAAGATTGTCAGCGAAATTTTACGAGATTTCATATGCTATTGATTGCACATCTAAGAGATTCAACATTTCACATCGGATAAATAATAAGTTGCCTGATATCTGTAGACTATACCTACTGCCCAAACTATCAGATTAGTTAAGTAATATTTCAAACTCAAAACCGAAGTGATAATAGCTAATATAATATGCACTGTGTTAGTGAAATGAAAAATTGATGCTCAATGGGGTTGTACACACACATAGAATTCACCCCACATACCTATTTTGTATTGATCAATCCGTGTATAAATAGTTTTCGATGCTATCATTCGTTATTTGAAATCATCCAATAGTTATTTTTGTATCTAGTGTCTGAAATGCTACTTTTGGTGATCGAGATATGATTTCTTTTAACGATGCGATGCCCAGTTGAAAAAGATGGTCGAGATGACCAAACTATTTCAATTGTAATTCAGAAAGTATAAGATGTAATTCAGTAAAGTATAAGTTGTTATTCAGAATAGTTAAATGTAAATCAGAATAGTTGAATGTAATTCAGAAAGTATAACTTTAAATTCAGATTAGTTAATTGTAATTCTGAAAGCGTAATATGTAATTCAGATAAGTGGAATCTAATTCAGAAAGTGTAACTTGTAATTCAGAAAGTATCACTTATGATTCAGAAACAACTCTTATGCATCCATTCTTCTTGAGAACAACGACTTGTTTATCTTGAACAGAATATTGACCGAGCCAAAGATACGATTGTTGGAGGTGAATGTGCTTGGGCTGCACAACACACCACCATTCACCATCCTGCTGCTCTGGCATTTCACGATATGCCCGTTGGTCGATAAATATAAAATATAGATGTTCATCACACAATATATTATTTATTAGATAGAGCAATGAAAGATATCTGGCTGATTATTTGATGAATTATTGTATATGGAACACATGTTATGGAGGAGAATATTTCAGAATATTTGTTGTATTGAAAACTCTAGAAATTTGTCTAGGCACAGTGAAACTCAGCTTCTGCAAAATGTGTGAGTCAGTGATAATGTTATCCACCACTTTGAAAAGGAACACTGTGGATTGACAATCACGACGGCAACAAAGGCTTTTCATAGCATGTCTAGCTAATAATGTATCATGAGGAAAAAAGGAAGGAAAGGATTATATCATCCGTTGATTCCTATTCCCTATGCTTATTTAAGTCCATAGTATTTATGAATTACAAGTGATGCTTTCTGAATTACAAATTACGCTTTATGAATTACAGTTAACTATTCTGAATTACAAGTTACACTATGAATTACATTTCACTAATCTGAGAATTACAATTGACGCTTCCTGAATTACAACTAATCTGAATTACAAATTACACTTTCTGACTTACATTTTACTAATCTGAATTACAAGTTACACTTTCTGAATTACAATTGAAAAAGGTGTAGTTGCAAACTAAATTTTTTCTACAAACGTCAAAAAGATATAGTTCTAAATATTAGTAATATGCTTAGCTCAATATAAGAAATAGTGTTGAATTGGCTTAAAAGACCTCAATAATTTTTTAATCGCTTGTAGCGCACGAAAGGAAATCCCTATAATTTTCAAAGAACATCGTGCGTTCCTAGGGAGGATAAGGACAGGAGGTAGATATTTGAATTTTTTTTGAACTTCTGGAGATTATATGTTTGCTCGATTGAGGACCATGAAGTTTAAATAATGTTACTTTGGTGATCGAGATCTAATTTTTTTAACGAGGCATAGCCGAGTCGAAAAAAAAGATGCTACGGTCCCCTGGAAGGGGGTTCTTGAAGATAATATGTCTTGAATATTTCCGGAACGCCACGTGATAAAATGATGCAATTTGGTAAAAGAACAAAACTTTCAATGTCCACTGCGGTGAACATAAAATCATTCCAAAATTTCATTCAGGAGTGGGACTACATTAAATATTGTTAAAACTTCTTTGTATACATATTTTTATACAATTTAATCTCGGATTATGGAAAACCACACCGTTTCACAAAATAAAAGTGCTCTTGTACCACATCGATCAGATGTATCATTGTTAAGTGAAATCGATTTGAAATTATTGATACACTAACATCCTATGCATACGTTGCCAATTTTCAAATCATAGTGGCTATAAAAATATCAACTACTTCCTTTTCACCAAACATTCTCATAAAAGCGCAGAATATAGGAAAATGATGATAAAAAATTACTTCAATTTTTGTGTATTTTTTTTTTCATTTCCACCACGATTCATTGCAATGTTATGCATACATAATATATGAGAAGGTACAAAACTTTTAAATCGCTTTTACTCGACAATGATACATCTGATCGTTGGAACAAGAGTACCTTATTTCTGTAGAGGTGTGGATTTCCGAGATGAAATTGGTCGGAAAATATGCATACAAAAAATTTTGAGCAATATTTAATGTAGTTCCACCTTTTATTATACACTTCTGAGTGAAATTTTGCAATAAATTTTTTTCACTGCATTGGGCATGGAATGTAGTTTTTGTACCAAGTTGCATCTTTTTATCACATGGAGTTTAATATAATCTACAGGAGCCCCTCTTTCAAGGGGCCGTAGCTCCCTTAGGAGACATTTCTCATCTCATGTTCATTGAAACTTTTCTTTCAATATGTTCTGGTACCCAGAATACCTTGATTTTCAAATTATCATGAGGTTCGCGAGGGGGCCATGGCCCCTATGTACTCTCCCATGGATCCGCCCCTGGGCTTCAAACATGCTGAGTGGAGACAAGTGGAATTACAGTATGGTGTGCTACGACGCATCTTCGTATACGTCACTGCTAGTAAAACAAATGCTCGCAGTCTGAGCTCACAATTATCAGTTCGCCCGAGTAGCCGTGACCATTTTGGTGCTATTATAGATTCGCAATGACGTATTGCGTAGAAAAGACGAATTCAAGATACCTGAGTCGCACACCATATTATATTTTCACCATGAGTGGAGATGTCATCCCCCAAGTTATTAGTGTCAATTTCTAATTCTTCATCAAATGTATTGTTGATTTGTCTAAGCTTCATATTTTCTGAACAAGGGGATCGATTTTCAATACTAAGCAGAAATGTATAGGGGATTGAAACCCTCGCAATGAGGTATCACTTGACCCCCATTCCCATTTGAGTAAAGTTGGGGGTGACACTTAGGACGTTGAAAGTTCTGCGTCAACAGTTATCCCCTATACCCTAACAATTCGTGGGATTGGATACAAATTAATACAAAACCACCTTTCTGATAGAATTCAACATGCTGCAATTAACAAAATCCCAGGCGCGCATCCAAGGGGGGGTAAAGGGGGTAATTACCCCTCCCCCAGGACACGGGGGATATCAGGGCATCGGTTTAAATAAATTTCCTTCTCAGCCAAGAATTAGGTAATACTCAACTCAAAACTCTTTGTGATACTAGAGGGGTAGATAGGCACGAATCAGTGCTGCAATTTAAGAGTTGCTCTGAAATCATTGTTGATTTGCTCAGAATCATTTCAACTTGGAAAGACCGCGATTCATCGTCTAAAGCTGAGATTTTCAAAACTGGAATTACTTCTACAGAATTTATTGTTTGTCTTTATAGCTTGAGTGAAATTTTAGCTTCAACAGTTAATGTAAGTAAGATTTCACAAACAAAATCAATCGACAGACAATATGCTGGTAAAGTTTATGGTATATTTATGGAAAAGATTGTTTGTTTCCAACTGAACTTTTATATATAAGGAATCGAAGAAAATGGATATAAATCAACTCTATATATACAATTTACTGATTCATATTTTCAAAAATGAAAAGGACATTCAGTTCAAAGAACGTATCTATGACATAAGAAATAAAAATAACATAGCATTGAAATATAAAACAAACAAGTCAATTGGACGTAGAAATTATTAATTTTTAATTCCTTACCTATATAATAAAATTCCAAATGATATTATAAAAACAAAATCACTACAATCCTATACAATAAAAATAAAAAACTGGATATTAAACCCCTAAAAATTATTTCATCTCTTTAATTAACATTCAATATCTTTAGAAAAATCTAAATAATAATTGTGAATAAGTATGTATAAATATAAAAAATTACGCGAATTGAATGAAATGCTCAGTACACTATATATTATGGATTAAATGCTTGTCTCATTTCTTAATGAGACAATTTTTCCCTTGTGATGATTATGTACATTTGTTTATTTATCGCTACTACAAGGTTAACTTGGAAAGGTTTTTCACAGTTTATTCAAAATCAAAATACCTATCTGTATGTTCCAATGTATATTTTGTAAACGTTTTTGAACAAACTTATATTATAATTATTAATATTATCCACACTCAACGTGTTTTTGGATTTTGTAGAAAAGTTCTTCCCCTTGTAATTGTCTTGTACGTTGTGTATATTTCTGCTTCATTGTATCAACTATTTGTCTGAATATAATGATGTACTATAATTTCATCAGAACTAGGTACAAAATTATAGAGTTAGCAATGAAAAACTGAGAAATCAGTTCTGGTGAAGTTTAAATCAATAATTTTGTTTATTTATCCTTCAAATTCCTATAAACCAACGAAATCAGTAGCTTCCCTGTAATTCGGATGGACGTTTTTGAACATTTTATCCCAGATTTTTTATCCAATGGATTAACTCACGATAAACCATGGCATAGTTGAACACGGAATGAAGCTGAGCTGATTTCCACAAAGCCAACAAAATGTTCATCTGAAAAACATTCCACTGATGTCGAAAAATATATATTTGTTCCTGATTTTAGTAATATACAAAGAGTGGAATGATTTTTAGAATTCTGCTGAAAGATTGAGATACGGGTTGCGACGTTTTTTTATTAGACAGCCTTTCATCCTTTGTCACTTGACGATTAAGAACTGAATTATTGGCCAACATGAAATTATTAACTCATTACTAATTCGATAAATAACTGATTGACTAATCTGAATCAATTTTTTAGGTATCTTAAATATCTTACCAAAAAATATTTGAAGAAGAACAACCTCCGTGATTGGTTGAGAGTAGTCGCCTCTGGGAAGGATTCCTATGAACTCAGATACTTCCAGATCAACAGTCAAGAAGATGATGATGAAGAAGACAATGAGTAAATGAAAAAGTACAGATTGGACTTCAATAAATATATTTTCAAAACCTCTTATTATTATTTGTTGTTATAAGTTTTTCTTTGAAGCGTTATTCTAACAATATCCTAAATTATGGTTTCCACTACCCCAAATAGCACAGGATATCCATGGAATGTTTTGTTCAGTGGATAAGGAAGAGATATATATATAGGGAGATTCACGGTGGATGGCACATTAGACGTTTCTGGAAAACGTAACTTGGGATTATTCTGAAAATTTGGTGCCTTGGATAATAATTAGTTGTGCTCTATCGACCTAGAATATTCTCAGCGCTGCGACGTTGCCCCTTTTATCGAAAAGTGGCAACAACTTTGATTTTTTTGAATGGGACACCCTATATATTATTCCATTTTCAGATTCTCCCTGAAAAGCTGATTTCATCGATCTATCACACTTGGGGTCTAGCGGGAATGTTGAAGATATAGGGAGTGAAGTCAAAATTTTCAAACTTGAGAATTTTTTGTGTCAAAACTATGCATAATTGATCAAAACGGTTTTCATGTCCCTATTTTATGTACTATCAATTGATAATTAATTGAAATGAATACAGGGTGGTTCAGACTTGAGATTTTTGACCATCCTGTATCGAATTGAATATCAATTGATAGTACATGAAAAGTTAGGATAGGGTCATGGAAATCGTTTTGACCAATTATGAATAGTTGAGAGGCAACGTCGCAGCGCTGAGAATATCTTAGGTGGAAAAAGCATAATACTTATCCAAAGCAGCAAATTTTCAGAATAAGTTACATTCTCCAGGAACGTCTGATGTGCCATCCACCGTGAATCACCCTGTATATGGAAACTAGGAGTTCGGGAGTTCGGGTTGAACCGCGTCTAGATCTACAGATTCTAGATAAGGTTCAACCCGAAATCCTAGTTTTTTAATTTTTGACCGCGGGAACCTATCCAAACATATACAGGGTGTTTCATGAGAAGACTCACAAAGCCAAATTGTTAATAGGGGAAATCAAGACGAGTTGATGTATACAGAGTGGGCCTTTGAAAACGAAACAGAGGCTCTGTAGGTCGCCAAAACCGGATTATGAAAAAAATCTGAAACACGCCAAACAACATTGTCGAGGGGACATCGTTCTAAAATATTTTCAGCTCTGCGGCGTTGCCGCTTCTAATGAAAAGAAGCAACAACTTTGTTATTTCAAATGGGACACCTTGTATTTTACTGCATTTTTAGATTCTCCCCGAAGAGCTGATTTCATCAATGCATCACACTTGGGGTCTAGCTGTAATGGTTTCAGGGATATAAAGTGTTCAAAATCGAGATTTTTCAACTTTAGCATTTTTTTGTGTCGAAACTATTCATTATTGGTCAAAACGGCTTTCATGTCCCTATCTCAACTTGTGATTTACTATCTACTAACATTTAATTGGAACAGATACAGGGTGATCAGAATTCTGAATCTTGAACCACCCTGTATTTGTTTCAAATAAATGTCAGTAGATCATGGACGTATAAAAAAGATTATACGTCTATGCAGTAGATAGTAAATCACAAGTCGAGATAGGGACATCAGAGCCGTTTTGACCAATAATGAATAGTTTGGACACAAAAAAATGCTAAAGTTTGAAAAATCTCGATTTTGAACACTATATCCCTGAAACCATTGCAGCTAGACCCCAAGTGTGATGCATTGATGAAATCAGCTCTTCGGGGAGAATCTAAAAATGCAATAAAATACAAGGTGTTCCATTTGAAATAACAAAGTTGTTGCTTCTTTTCGTTAGAAGCGGCAACGCCGCAGGACGGATAATATTTTAGAACGATGTCCCCCTCAAATCAAATCAAATCAAAATCAAATCAAATTATACTTTATTGTCGGAAGAATGAAATTCTCATTGACAAAGTGAAGAAATATATAAAACTCATGCATTAAATATGTATATGCGTACAGAGACTACAGGAAATAAACACAATAAAATTAAAAGAAACTTACAATCATATTAATATATAAGTCAATACAAACAAAACACATTAAAACTTATTGAAGATGTAAACATAAAAAAGATAAAAAAGATAAAAAATATAAAAAATATAAAAAATATAAAAAATAATAAAAATGATATGGGATCCTGATTAGGTATCACAGTCAAAAATAGAAATTTCAAAATACTATATCTAGTATCTAGACTAGCCTATGGATTCTCCATATTTAGTTAAGTTATTGAAGAGTGGCCTGGAAAAACTCCTGAACATCATAAGGAATTAGATCTAGGAGAATATTCTTCACAGATGATCTAAATCGTTTATACCCTTCAATGTTCCTAATGCTCCATGGAATATGATTAAACATTTTTACTGCATTATATATTAGTGAGTTCTTGATCTTGTTGATAGAGGGAATGGGAAGTTTCAAATTACCATTTTGGCGAGTAATACCGTCATTGACTTCATATAAGGCTTTATTCTTGAAAATCAAGCAAACTGTCTCAAGTATAAACAAAGATGGAACCGTCAGTAAATTATTTTGTTTGAAAAGTATCCTACATGACACTCTTGGTGCTACATTACATAAAAATCGAATGGCTCGTTTTTGTAAGACAAATATTGAATGGAAGTTTTCTTGATTACATGAACCCCAGAAGGCGATTCCATATCTGATATGTGATTCAATTAGTGCATGGTAAACAACCTTAGCTGTCGCTGTACCCAATTCATTGGCCACTACACGCAGAGCATAACATCCTGATGCAAGCTTATTTCCCAATTGTTTCACGTGTTGATGAAATTTCAGTTTATCATCAATGTAGACTCCAAGAAATTTGTTCATACTCACATTGACTATCAATTCATTACCTAAAGGAATATCGGGTAGGGCACAATGGTATGATATAAAGTTTGTCTTGGTAATGTTGAAAGAGAGTAGGTTAGCATCACACCATCTTTTAATTTTTGCTATATCTCGGGTTATTTTCGAGTGTAAGCTTTCTATGTTGTTATCATGCCATAAGATTGTTGTATCATCTGCGAAGACTGTGAATAGTCCATCAGATGTTATGCTTGTCAGGTCATTGAAGTACAACAAAAACAAGATTGGACCAAGCACCGATCCTTGAGGAACGCCACAATGAATTGCCCCACTGTCCGATAACTTATGAGTTTTAACTAATTGAGTTCTTTGACTCAGGTAAGACTCTACCCACTTATGGCTCTGATTCCCGAATCCATAGAGTCGTAGTTTGCGCAGCAAAATTTCGTGATTTACGCAGTCGAAGGCCTTCGACAAATCACAGAATATTGCTGCACTCACTTCCCCCTGATTCAGTTCAGTATATAGTTTGTTGAGAAATGTGAAGACAGCATCCCCCGTAGATTTCTGTTGCTGAAATCCAAATTGTTGGGTATTTAATATATTATGCCTTTTTATGAAGTTCATTAGTCTAGATTTAACTAGTTTCTCAATTATTTTACCTAGAACCGGTATGAGTGAGATGGGCCTATAGTTGGATGGATCAAGTTTTTCACCACCTTTATGGATGGGAATCACTATTGAGGTTTTCAGGAAGTTTGGAAAGGTCCCTGATGCAAAGGAATTGTTAATTAGCTGTACTAATAATTTCAGCGTGAAAATTGGCATATTCTCAAATATTTTTATTGATATGTTATCGATCCCACAAGCTTTTTTGTTTTTCATGTGTTTTATAGTTTCCATTAATTCATGCAAGTTAGTCTCAGAAAGTACAAACGTATCTTTGATATTTGTATTGTTCATGAATATGAGTGGATCAGCTGCATCCCGAATATTACTTGAGAGTTTCTTTGCAACACTGCAATAGTAATCATTGAACAAATTAGGGTCTAGGCCTTCTCCGCTAGCTTTAACATTGTTTTTCCCACGAAGATCATTTACGACTCGCCAGGTTTCTTTAATTGTATTACTACTGCTGGATATTCTATTATGAAAGTAGGTATTTTTTGCTGCTTTGACGATTTTTCTATAGATCCGTTTAAAGGAGTTGTAGTATTCATGGAAAAATGCTTCGTTGGTGAATTTTCTAATTTGGTGGAGTGATCTTAGATTATTAGATGAAGTTCGAATACCTTTCGTTAGCCACATTTTTTTATTAATATTTTTAATTTTTATTTTTTGTATCGGAAAGGCCTGATTGAAGCAATCGATCAGTAGGTTATAGTAAAATTGAAGGGGGTCGTCAGTTCTTAGACAAGCATCCCAATCTTTCCTTAGGCAAATTTCGTAAAATTTATCATAGTGGGATTTACAAAATAGTCTACCCCATTTGAAGGAATTCCTATTAATAGGATGAGGTAAGAACTTCATAGTACACTGGACTGCTTCATGATCGGAAATGTATTTGACATGTTTCAGATTGTTTTCATAATCCGGTTTTGGCAACCTACAGAGCCTCTGTTTCGTTTTCAAAGGCCCTCTCTGTATATATGAAAACATTTTTTTGACCCTCCATAATGAAGATACAGGGTATTATGTGAAATTGGTCCATATTACCGAAATTATTCGTCATAATCTGCTGAAATATGGCAGCGACGTATCTTTACTGAAACTATTCAATAACATATCAGAGATCAGTCCCACTAAAAATATCCAGGTCCGTACTTGGAAAAATTTTATGTTTCATTGTTATGTCAGAAAAGTTCACTTTGTGACCACTTTTGTCGAAAAATTCCATCAGATTCAGAATTACAAGGCACACTGGCCGGTTCAATAAAAAAATATGGAACATGAATTCAAATGAATTTTCAATTTCGACCTGGCTGGGCAATCATTGAGTTAATTGATTTTTCCATGTTCTTACTGCAACGTGTTTGATATTCGAGTTGATCTAGTTACCAGCAGGCTGATAGGCCGAGGACGACTGGTAAACCAAAACAGTAATGTGGAAATGTCTCACTCTTGTTGACAATTGGTACCATTTGGTACCAACTGTATGCATTATCGACAAAGAAGATTAATGCTATACATGATCTTCTTAGTTATCGATCTCCAGTTATGGAATTTAGTTCTATAAAGACAGGCAGTAGTTG